GTCAGGGCATGGCTAACTCACAGATAGAACCCTGAAACAACATCTTGGCTGATCTAAGTCAGGGCATGGCTAACTCACAGACAGAACCCTGAAACAACCTCTGGGCTGATCTAAGTCAGGGCATGGCTAACTTATTATTTTTTTGCGGATGGAGGAAAAGCTCAAAAAAAATCAAGAGAAAAAACTCCACTCCCACATGATACCCAGTCTAGGAATCCTACACGAAATTTCTGTACGAATGAATGGTTAATTAATAATACTATTGATGCAGTTAGCATTACATCTTAATGAATAAGACCCTCGAGGCGTTCCATCTCAATTTATCAATTAGTTCATATTGTATAGATCAAAAATGCTTTTAGTGTTCATTAATCATTCTGAATCCTTAATACTATTTTCGATTCTCTGTCGTGCACGCCGTTAATATTCTAGTTTTTTTTATTTTGACGAAATTTATGTTGATGTATTTCAAGTCCTCAGGAAAGTATTTTATTTGTGTAGGAAATGTGGTACATTAATTCATTTTCTCATCCTATTAGACTCTTGACTTCTATATAAATATTTGTAATACTCCGTTAAGATTTTGATGTTCACCGGAATTTTTATTTTATTTTTGGCTTCTCATCTGTGATCGGATTGAGGAGGTTTAAATCTTAAATTATAATAAATGAGTGAACGAATGAATGAATGAAAGAATAATCTTTATTTTGCTTTTACTCACACGCTGATAGGTTCATCTGTGGTCGGATTGAGGAGGTTTAATGTTCAAATATTCCCTTATATGTTCACATATGGTCGGATTGAGGAGGTTTAATCTTTAAGTATTCCCTTATGTGTTCACATGTGGTCGGATTGAGGAGGTTTAATCTTAAAATATTCCCTTATATGTTCACCTGTGGTCGGATTGAGGAGGTTTAATCATCAAATATTCTCTTATATGTTTACCTGTGGTCGGATTGAGGCGGTTAAATCTTCAAATATTCCCTTATATGTTCACCTGTTGTCGGATTGAGAAGGTTCGAGGCTTTTCTTGTTTGTTAACTCGTGATTGCTTTCTAAAGGTTCGACGACCATATCGTGATTTTCCCCTTCCTCGCACATCAGAAGAGTTTATTCTAAAGTCATTAAAAGCTGTACTCGCCTACTCAGACCTTTGCTTGGGGGACAAACGGATGTTTTCACCAGCAGTGATCAATAAAACTCGCATTAGACTCTAATCTTTTCAGTTCTTAAGAATGGAATTAGACGTCACATCTTTTGACCAAATCTACAATGTATTTTTAGTGATTTAAGAGTAGATATCATAGAGTCTTTTTTCATTCAGTAAATACTGCTTGGTTTTATAACTGAAGACTCATCTTCACGGGCTTAGCCTGGTTTAAGAGCAAATCATTAGCAAAAGTCTACTCTAATCAGTGCAAATTTGTGCAATTTTCTTACAGAGTTTTTCACGAATATATAGTAAACACTCTACCATCCATTCGCAAAGTGTTTGTTTTTTTATTTTTTATGCTTTCAAATTATTTCATTAGTGCGATGCATTACGGGTCAACAAACGCGTTCAGTAGTTTGGGGCGTCGAAAAATATCGTCCTTTTATTTTAAAAAAATCTGTTTCCATAGCAACTGCCACGATGAAATTGAAAGCAGCTGATTCTAATTGGCGGACTCTTGATGAAAGAAATTCAGCCAATCACAGTCAAGTTTTCTCACTCGTGACAGTTGCCTTGGAAACACTAGACGTCGGGACGACAGGCCCGCGAAATTTGTCTAAGCAAAACCTCTATGTCCTCCTGATTCTCTTCATATGTGCGTCCCAAAATATCTCGTACATCTCTCGAATGTGGTCCTTGGAAATCTTTGTAACTTGATATTTATGAATAGAACACCTGCGAGATATTAACATTCTAGTTTACTATACCGAGCCTTTCCGAAATAAGATGTTCAAAATTGACCCAAGATTATCTCGAATGCTAGGCTAACATGAAAATACGAAAGAAACGCCACTTATTCCTAATAGTGCTGTAGATTCTATTTAAAACATCGTTAAGTAGTCAACTGACTAGCATTTCTACCAAAATTTTTTATTATTGTCGATAGGTAGGTATGTTACGTAAGGTACATTATTTTATTCCTACCAATAAATAAATTTGATGATCACTTGTTTGCACTATACATGAAGTACAATAAGACATCGAACCAAATCGATTTGCGGTTAGCGTTCCCAAATATCCCATACGAATGTGTGATCAAAAAGTCGTGTCAATATTAAGACACTTGTCGAAAGATGTCGAAAGAATACTCTATCGATTTGTGGTTGCCGTTCATAAATATATGGACATATAGCCTGTGTTCCAAATGCCTTGTAAATCTTAAGCCCCGTTTACTCTAGCGATTTTTGCGGCGATTTTTGCTGCGTTTTTTTGCGATTTTGTCCATAATAAATAATGGTAAAGAATTTACTTGTAAAGTTTTTTTCGGGATACCAAGATTTTCCTAGACGAATGTCTCTTTTGAACGATGAGACAAAAGATTTAATATTTCCGAAAATTACCACAAAAATCGCAGCAAAAATCGCCAGTGTAAACGGGGCTTTAAGACACTTGTCGAATGTCGAAATAAATCTCTATCGAAATGTCGTTCGTGTTTTCACGATAAGGTTGTGTCTCAAAAACAGGGGTTAATTTGAAGGGAGTATCTGGAAGATTTTCCATCGTCATAACGTTTATTGCGTAATCACATTGTGTATATTATAGCGCGAAACCTTTATCAATTATCTCTTTGAAAATACCTTAATTATCTAGAACCTCTCACGTATTCGTGCTTCGCTGATAAGAAACTGATATTTAGCGTGTAATTAAGACATGTCTTTTCAATGATCACTTTGGAATAAAATGATCACGATTTTTTGACCAGCGTTAGTCAAGGGCATTAAACTAAGAGGAATCGAGTCAAAATCCGCCCAGGTCACAACAACATCGCTAAGTCGATAATTTTGTGGTATCTTTGAAGGTTTAAATAGCTTTAGATCAAAGTAGAAACTCTTATTCTTACTCCAGGTGAAGATGGATGAACATGGAAGATTAGAATATCAAGGTTCGTGCGATTTCTGTTGTCGACCTCAACCGGATGCAATAATCGATGATATAATTGGCTGTTTGGGGAAACATTAGGTTTTCTTGTCTACTTTGCATTTCTGCCCGAAATTATAGCCCCCGGGGGTGCTTTTGTCAGGCCAAACACTGAATTGATTTTAGATTGTCGTGTTTATATTGACTTTGTGTTAGAGTTGGAAGCATTGATATGACATATAGCAGTTAAAAAGTGTTTTTGAGGTGATGATGATGATAATGATGATGATGATAGATCTTATATTTAGCTCGCACGCATATTCTGGATAGTATGTGTGGGCTGGAATGGTTTGTCCCTTCGCACATATGATTAGTTGATAACACGCATCTAATGGTTCGTAATGAGATGTGGACATGAACGTCACTGACGTCTTCCAAATGATCTCAACATCCAGATCCATTCTGTTCCATCGTTACTCTTGTACAGATTCACTGACTCACTCTGGCTAGCGGGTGATAAAAAAACCTGAAGACTTTGCATCAAACATTAGTGAGCTCATATTCTTAACTGTTAAATAGTAAGATGAATTTTAGTAATTTTTCCAATGGTTGCCCTCCTCAAATTGATTCAAGCCAGGAGTCAGCGCTCAAGATATCTGCTCTTTCAGTCATTGGTGTGTTCAGCTTATTGGGGAACTTACTGACGATCGCAGTTGTATACCGAGAAAAATCTCTACACAATACAGTAAATTATCTCATCGTTAATATGGCACTATCCGACCTTGTTACTCCATTGGTTATCATCCCTCGTTTTCTGGTTGAGGTCGCTCAAGCTTCAAGCGCGTGGAATATCGAAGGCAAGACAGGGGTCGCTTTATGCAAACTCTTTTACTTCACTGCCGATCTTAGTCCAGCTGTTTCAATCCTAAGTTTGATCTGTATCACCACGGATCGTTTCTGCGCGATCGTTTTCCCTCTTAAAACGGGTGTCAGTCAAATCGCGCGAGCTCGGATTTTTATCGTGGCAGCAACTTGGGTCGTACCTATTTTGATCTTAGCGCCATACTTTTATGGGTTTATACTAGTGAAAACTCAAACTGGACAAGACTTGTGCGTGTTACGATGGAGCGAAAACGGAGATGACCACCTCAAGGTACAATATGCTTTCACTACCGTTATGTGTGTGCTGTTTATCATCGCTCCCTTTATTGTGCTAGTAATCATGTACACTTTAATCATGGTTAGACTATGGAAACAGGATCGCAGTGCTATGGCACTCAGCCAGTCCGCAAGAGAGCGCGTCATGAGGTACCAAAAAACAAAAAAGGTCATATATATGGCTTTGTCTATCGTCGTAGTCTTTGGTATTTGTTGGGGTCCCTACAACGCCTACATCTTTACTCTGACGTTTGTTTGGGAATGGAAGACGAGTGCAAACTTCTGTGGGATTGACATCTTTCTTTTCGTAGCTCGCTTCATAGCCTACTCCAATCCGGCGCTTAACCCTATCATCTATTTTATCTTCATCGAACGATTCCGCAAAGGCCTTCGCCGGATTTTCGCCTTCGAAAGCGCAAGACGTAAGAGCGAAATCTCGAGCGGGCGAATTTTCTCGGATACTGGAAACAGAATGTCAGACAATCAATCGGTACCATTGACTCTTATTGCATCCAGAAGTCTCTCAAGAGACCTCGCCCGCATCTCACCTCCACATCTTAAAGCTAGGGCGAATTCAAATCGTATTTAAACTTAAGGGGAAACACTTGGGCGATACATATATTAGACTTCTTATCAAAGCCTGAAACAACTTCTGGCCTGATCTTAGTCAGGGCACGGCTAACTCACAGATCGAACCCTGAAACAACCTCTGGGCTGATCTAAGTCAGGCCATGGCTAACTCACAGATAGAACCCCGAAACAACCTCTGGGCTGATCTAAGTCAGGGCATGGCTAACTCACAGATCGGATTGTTTTTTGTGGAGAAAGGAAAAACCCCCGATTCAAAGGGGATACCAAACAGCTTCCACAATCCTTCATAAGAGTGAGAACGTATAGCATAACCTACGTGATTGTTAGATTCAAATCAACGCAATCGAGCGACAAAAATATAATAACCATAATGACTATAAAGAAAAGAAATCCGAAAAAAAAAAGAATATTAAAATATATTTAGTTCAGATTACATGTTTGATTACGAGGAAAAAATAATAATTGAATAAAGTTTGAATGACGCTCTTAGGATTCTGAATCTATTGTCCAACGCTATTCGTTTTTATCTTTTATTTTTGTATTTCATTCCCATACTGTTTTGAAAAAGATAGCGTTATAAAACAGAATCATTTGAAGTCTTCCAGCAGTAATATGAATAAAATATGTTTATGACAAAGATAACAACTCTTTGAAATCCAATCTCCTTGTAGCGGGAAGATTTTAAGGTCGAACTATTGTTCAATCTTTTGATTCACTAAAATCAATCAAATTTTAAACCACTTAACCAAATTCTTCCTCTCGAAGATCTTTCCTTGACATTCTAATTCAACCGTAATTAAGAATTCCCCTTTGAACGTCTTAAATTATATCTAGAACAATACCCCAGTTGGCAGCTTTGCTTCATTAATGATGTTTATACCAGTGAAATATTCTTATTATTCAATGTTATGAGTTTAACACACTCGTCGTTGCCTTCATTTGAATTATTTAATACCGAATTGGATGTAAAGAATTCATGGATTCGCAAAATGCGGGGAAAAAAATACTCTATTTTGTCATAAATCTTTTGATCCTATAGTATTCCTTACAGATCTGTTTATCGTAGAGTTCTTAAAAATCGCCTAAAGGCCCGAGTCCTCCACGATATCTTTTTTTCTAAACTATAGATTAGTTTAATAAACATCGGCGTGTAGTTTTGAAAATACTGTATGTTTTTTTAACGTACGCCAAGTTAGAACGTGGCTGGAGTTTGATTTTAGGATCATATTTTTTCTTTTTTTTTTTCTTTTTTGTGTTTACGTGACTTAATAAACGAATCTTGATGTTTCTTATTTTTCCAATTCGTATTTAAGCGTTCGCATACATTTCTTAGATTTGAACTGATAGAAATATTCTTGGTTGGCTCTCTTTGATAATGTAAACCTACCCGCAAACCGTCCAACGATCCGCGACTTGCGCGTCATAGGAGACTTTACGCAATGGCTTCCAATACCGACTAGATAGCCATCTAAATATGAATGTTCCTTTAACAGGAGAGTTCCTCACATGCTTATTTATATTTCGATTTGAAACTACGTTTTTTTATTCCTGCCAATGTCAACGGCAGAAAACATCATTGAGAATTTATACTAAACGTTTGGTTAACGTAAACATATTTCTGACCTCGATAAACCTGTCGATAAACCCGGGTTGAAGTACTATAAGGTGTCAGGTTTTCTGTTCGTTTTTGATGTGTTTGAATTGAAAGCCTCTACTCAAAGGCCGTTTTAATGAATAAAACGCTTTATAGCTACATCAGAAATCACGAAAAAACAACTGAGTTATTGAGATCATTATTGTAAAGATCTTCGTTACACGCGACATCCTACTCGGCGCCTTACATATCGCTTAACATGAAACTAAGTTATTGACGATATCTTGAGACGTTAACTGACATTTGTAGTAATAATTAATGTCAAGATCCTGCTTGCTTTATTATTGATGTTCAAATTTTTTATCATCTTTCTCGTAATATCTTTTCTATTTCAATATACAACTTAAAATAAACAAAAAACAAAACAAAAAACAAAAAAAAACGAAACAAAAAAACAAACAAAAAACAAAAAAAAAAAAAACAAAAAAACAAACAAAAAAACAAACAAAAAAACAAACAAAAAACAAACGAAAAACAAAAAAAAACAAAGTTAGTAGAATTTAAGAGTTTTCTTTAATACAAGTCTTTACTTTTTTTCAATTTCTAATTCGTTCACTTCATCTTATTTTCATGTTATTTTTTTCTTTCTGTTTTTCTTTCATAATTTCCAATTTATATTCTCATTCCATATTCCATTTTATTCATCCATCCATTTAATTCCTTTTTAATTCCTTCATTATGACATTTTTTCGCAAAGTAAAACGTTCGTGGTCAAAATTTATCTTTTGACATTTATCATTAGTTTATTCAATTTTTATTTTTCAAATTTCTTTATTTCCTCTCGATAAAATATTCGCCAAGTTAAAAGTTTTTTGGGATTAAAAAAAAAAATTCACATATTTTTGTTAAATATTCCATTCTTGATCATTCCTGCCCGTTTTTCCGGATTTCCGTTACTCCCTTTCTACGCCAGTTCGACAACAAGTCTCCTAAACTACTCTAAAACGTCGTCAAAAATCTTCAACTAAATATTTATTTTCAACAAGTTTTATCGCCAGAAAGTCCAATTAACTGCGGTATTCTTTAACCAAAAGAAAGTTTAACTTTTGCTGACATATTGACTAATAACACTCTAGGCTTCGTAACTTACGGCTAGACATTATTTACCATTTTTTTGCCGATTGTCTTACCAGTTTCCAATATTGTTTTCAAACCAACATCTTTGAAATCTGTTTAATTTTTTATATCTTCAACTTCTGAATATAGATGAAGTTCCATTCTACTGATTTTAAATTGCAAAATTAAAAAAAAAATCAAATTAAACGCACACTTTTAGTTTTGAAATGAAACCCTTTTTAAAGCGAATTTCTATTCTGTTAACTCGTTTATTATTGATGAACAACAAAGCATAGAGCGGCATTTTATTGCATTTTTCAACATCTCCCACAGTTTTGTTATTTTTCATGCATCATATGTTTTATATTTATATATTTATATATTTTATTATATTTTGATATGTTTTGTTATTTGGATTTGAAAGAGAATCCATATAAAAGGAGAAACAAAATGTAACTGTGCTGTGTAATCAATTCCTTCCCAAATGAAGTGTTATGATTGGTTGGCGTGGGTTTTCCCAGCCTTTTGATTGGCTCTTGTCACGATTGCTTTCAAATGGGTTTCGAAGGAAAGCAATTTGATTGGATTATTTGAACCACAATCAACCGCAATCCGAGCTATCCCACTCCATTCCATTCCAATGTACACTTCTTATAGTAAATTCAAGACTAATTTATTATACAAAAATGCTGTTGTGGAAAGTACTCCTGTGTTTTTTCATTTGCAAATCATCCTTATAACTGAATTATATGGTTTTGTACACTTTTAGGTTATATCACTTCATAACACTTGTCGTAAATTACACTGCAAAATGTAACACATTCTGGAATTTTCGTCATCTCATTTGCATATTGATATTTCAAATGTTTATCTCTGAAAAGAGAAGACCACATACAAAAATACTGCAACCATACTACTACACTGTTCACATATAAGTGATTTTGAAAATAACTTAGGAAATAAAAAATTCGTGAATTGGTTTACACTATTTACTCTATAAATGGTCGAAGACTATTTTATCATTCGACCTTGATAAGATTTAATCGCCCGTCGGATCTTTTAAGCTTTTTTTCTAGTGTAAATAGAACTGCAAGTGCTGTTTGTTATAAGTCTCGATAAATGATAAACATGATCTTAAGTTTTAAGAATCTTATATATCAAATTCTCAAGACGTTAAGTAATACCTCATCTACGATTCCATTGATCCAAACACGTTCTTGACTTTTTTCTGCCGGATATAATCTTATATTGTTTCCTCTACTCATAGTAAGTTGTTTTCGTTAGGTATAAATCCCTAACTTGAATCATCTTTTATACGTACGCCAAAACGACAAATGAATATTCAGTGGAAACTAGTTTCGTTTAATTCAAGCTCTTCAGTCCACTGTCCCAGCGATACTTCACAAATCCTTTTTTGAAAAGGTGCTTTTTCAAGGCCAATCCTCATTAAGAATAATCACCATTTTCAATAACAATTCGGATAAGCGTTGAAGGGGTCTGTTTCACAATTGCACGATATTGATGTCGAGTTAGCGGAAGCTTTGCTCATGTATTCTACTCATATTAGAGTAATAAATATTTTTTTACACCAACGGACTAGCCTCCTGAACCTCATTATAGTACCAAAACTGTTTTGCACGGTGTTTAAGTTTCCTCTTTATTGACTTGTTAAGAATACAGTTAGGTTGTGTTGTGTCTGTACTGAGTAACAAGACATGTAGCTTTCTTTCTGTATACTTCTTGTCTTTCCTTTCCTTTCGTTTCCTTTCGTTTC